TGAAAATTCACGTACATGGCAAAAATTACACATGTTAATCGGTTAACGCATATGGTTAACCGGTTAACACTGTGAAAACCTGCAAAACTAACCTGATTTTGATTGTGTTAATCGGTTAACCCTATGTGTTAACCGATTAACACCTTCAAAAATTTAAAATTGGCGCCTTTTGGAGGGAAACGTACCCACTTGCTCGTTTTCAACTGTTTGGATATCTGTTAAGCCTCTGAAACTTGTTTTCGATCATCCTGACTGTGAAACTGCTCGAAGTAGCCTGAACACTGGAAATTAACCTGCACAATAAAATAAAATCGACCGCTCTATCAGGTGAAATAAATGCCAACTACTGCTGCTTGCTGTTCAGTTGCTTACACTGGAATGAAACCTGAGACACAGGAAGCCTTGATCCCCTGCCTTAAGAACGAATGTCATGCAAATGCTCATGCTGAAAAATAAAATGAAACACAAACCAAGCAAAGAAAAGGTTGGACAAATTTTGGGGTGCAACACAACCGTAGCTGCATCTCTGTATCATCAGCATGATTACTCTTCAAAGCAGTAACTGCAACATCAAACTGGTTGATTCGGTGGGTCAAAGCACTACAACATATTTTAGATATTGATATAGCTAAAGAATAAGCCTACTGAATTCCTCTAACATCTTCCAAATTTTATTTGTTTCCTTACCTGGTATATCCATGAATTGATCTTCTGATGCACTTCGTGCACGATTGGTCCCCACAAGTTTCGCTTAATATATACCTTCCTTTTTCTGTTAATATATTGAGTAAGTTTCGCTTCCTTCTCTGAGTAAATAAGTTTCAAGTTTCCTAGGCCTACTTCAAACTTATTGCCCGGACACCCTGATCTATGTTCTATATGGCTATCTGAAATAGTAGTTGCAAACACAAGGTATTCAGATGAGTGATAGCAATTAACAACACAATTCTCGGGAAGGAAATGGATGATGAGAACTAACCTGCTTGTTTAGATTTTGACACATAGTAAGTGCTAAAACCAAGAGGAGGAACAATGGCTGAAAAAGCAAGTCAATATTTAGGATTTACACTTGGAGAAACTCCTAGGTATGCTTCCGCGTAGTAGTTTCTTAAACTAAGAAAAGCATCAGGTATTGGCAGAAGCTGGGATTGGATTTCTTTCCCAGTCGAATACCGAACAACAACATTTTCATTGGCAACCTGTGACAAATAGAATGTTTCATACTTAAACCAGAAAATATAAGAAGAATGGAGATACTGAAAGGTGATTGAAAGAAGAAACTCACAGGAATCCTTATAACATCCTCTCTTTTTTGTCCAAGAGGATTGTAAACGACAACAACCTACAGGAAACAATATGTCTCGTGAAAATATTAATAGATAATTGTCTGCATTCTGATAAGCAATAGATTAGATATCATTGCTCCTCACCAGGTCTTTCCCATCGGAGAAGTCTGCTTCTGATGCAGGACAGTAACTTATGTTAAGAAGTGGACACTGTAATGACAAAATAGAAGAGATAAAGTAGCGGAATCTCAGTATCAACTCATCAGAATTTTAATTCTCAAAGTATGTTGTTATGACTTATGAATGACAATAACCTAACTCACGAAATATATGTAATCAAAATTTAGAAAAGACTAAAGAGGTGTTGGACTTACAGTAGTTGAACAAAAGAACATCGCTACTTACCTGTTGAAATTTAATTTGCGGAGTCCTACCATCAGTTTTGTTTGCTGCTTCTGTCAAGAAAGCAAGTGATGCAGCAACAACTTTCTCGGCCTGAATTAGACACCAAAAGTGAAAAACATTTTTAGTTTAATCGCAAGAAAATAAACTCCAAAGAGAATATATATAGAAAAAATGTACGTGTTTAGTTGATGGGCGGGTTTGGGTACCTGTGAGTCCGTTTTTGGTACCCGGCCTGCCCTTTTGAACCCCTTTTAACCCGGGTTAGTAACCCGCTTAATCCGTCGGACCTATCCAACCCGCCCAAATTCTTTTTTATCTTCTGGATTTCACCGGGTTGGGCCGGATGTGTGGGTGGTGTCCACCCCTAATATCATCCATTGTTATACTATTATTTTATGTTTAGTGTTAGACTTGTAAACACCAACTTTTGACATTGTTTTAACAATTGTTTAATGTTTTGTTCTGGCAGTTGAGTAGCTGAGTCTACTGTTCAAGTTATGGCTTCAACTTCCCACTTTCTGGTTTGAATAATTCGTACAACTATTGTTGCATTGTTTCAGTTTCTGGTGCAATTAAAATTTTCATAGGAATCATTAGATACTTTCCATGAAACTAAGTCACACAAGAAAACAACCACTTATATACATATTGTTCTAACAATTGAGTTGGAAAGCTGAGCATAAGCAAAAATTTTATTCTTCCTGTTATAGATGCATTGAAGCTTAATTTAATTCAGCACTTTGTATTTGGAATATTAGGTGAAGTATATAGATTACGTTAGGCCAAAGTAATGGAAAATTATGAAGATAATATAGTCGGTTATGTTACAGTCCCACATCAAATGATTTGGTAATATAGGAATAATTGGGTGCAATAAGAAGAGAAGATTAATAAGTATTAGGATTAACGTGTAAATTGTAAAGGAACAAAAGTGTGTTTAAATTTCAATTGAATTTTGTTATGCTAGGCTTCCCAGAATCCTAGCAGCTAGTTGTACTTGCCAGCAAGTGTAACCTTTCCGGCAGAGATGCCAAATGGATAATAAAAAGAGTCTTATTTGGCAACTACTGAAGACCATATAGATATGCTCTATATTATATCAGATTATTATACAATTTTTTATGTTTAGTGTTGGACTTGTAAACACTGACTTCTGACCTTTTTTCACGATTGTATAATGTTTTGTTCTAGCAGTTGACTTCTGACCTTTTTTCACGATTGTATAATGTTTTGTTCTAGCAGTTGAGGAGTTGCTGAGTCTACCAATATATACATGGCTGGAATATGATAGAAGGAAGTTTAGATAGCAAACTACCTCTCTATTAGCTTGTCTTAAACAATAAAGTGTTTTGTTGAACGCCACACCTTATTTGACATAAAAGTAGTATGAAACCCAAGCTTTTTTCTATCAAATTGTTACAGTGATTTAAGCTGCATCAAAAAGATAACCGAAGCAGTTTATACTCTTTTTCTCTATTTTAAAAGAGTAGAGAAAAATTGGGATCGATTAGATGACTTTATTGTTGGGATGAGTTTATAACTTTATATAAAGATGAATGAATGATTAAAATATATTATTTGTTGAGAGAGAAAAATTGACTTAGAGAGTTTTAGCGTGTGTTTGAACTGGCGTTTGAGTTAATAAAACCACGTCCAATGCACTTTTCCGCAGAAATACAGAAGCTAGTAATTGGAGCTTCTGTCTAAACGTACGGTTTTTTATTTCTCATCGCGGAAACAAACACACCATTAGAGAGATATAGAGGAAAAGTCACCAAAGTTACAAACACCTACAATCACACAATTCCTTCCCAAAAAACTCACACTTAAATACCGCAACAAAAAAATACTCAAATGTTCCATTAATTTATATTCAAATGTTCCATTAGTTCATATTAGTTGATAACTGTAGCAATATTAGATGCAAGGACGCCGAGTTTAGCAACTAGACTACTTGAAGAAAAGTATTAAAGTATGTCAATTTCTATAAATACTAGGAATTTAAGATATGCCTAACAATTGAGTTGGAAAACTGAGCATAACCGAAAAATGGACCCTTCATGTTATAGATGCGTTTGGAATATTAGGTGAAGTAGATACATTACAATAGGCCAAATCTGGTTTCACGAGACAAAGCCCAAAGCAATGGAGCACTAATATGCAGCCAAATTGTTAAGTTGCAAAAGCAAAAGAAAATTGTTTTTAAACATTTGATTGGTTGGTTAATTTAAAAAAGTGAAAACATGAATTGGGGAGTAAGTGGTGTTGTTGGACAAACATGGATGCGCGTCACGTTATGTTACTTACAGTCCCACATCGGATCGTACAGTGATATAGGAATAATTGGATGCTATAAGACAAAAAGATTAAGGTTTGCTTTAACCATGATCCTTCAGGCAGTAATGGGAAATGAGGAGTGGTCGAGTCTCGCACTTAATTTGCGAGTTGGGTGTTCGCCCCAAGCCTGGTTACGACAATTGGGCACTCTCATCCAATCAATCTGATCCCTAATAGCCCAAACCCAAAGGGTTAATTAAGTTGATAAATTTTTTTATATATTACTTTTAGTTTTAGTAGTTTTAATATATCTTTTCTGAATCACCCATAGTAGTTGTGTTAATTTTTCATTTTGTTATTATTTTACATAATAAATTATATTAAAAAAATTCATTTCTCACCTTTATTAGAGCCTAATCTCTAAGCAATTTCAGTTTGAAGTTTTTAGAGATTTTCAATTATCGTCTTATTTATACTTTCTCATTTTTTTTAGCTTCTTCCCTGCATTTTTTGAAACTCCTGTGAGATATACAAACAACAATTGGTTGGAATATTAATTAATTTTAGATACCTTCATGAATAGTAACCCTTCTTTTCTAAGTTAATAATAAACATGGATGGAATTTATACCATGGCATCGAACATAAAAACAAGCATATATTCTATTTACAACTTTCCTTCAAAAGCATCAAATAAAAGAAAGTGATCCTGCCACAAAAATGTTCTATATAGCTTCCTTTCTATACGCAAGGACCTAGTAAGTTTCAAAGCAAACAATAAAAAAAGAAAGAAGCTATGTATATATCTATAAACAATATATGAATTGATAATAGTTGTCAATGTTGGATGATAAAAATTGCAGAGTTATTCAAACCACTCTTTAAATTTGTCAAAATATTCTACAGATAGCATGCTTTCTGATAGTATATTTTGATAGAAAATACATTATCCAAAAAGTTCTGTTAATAAATTCTCGTGTTATAGGGATTGATTGAAAACTCTTTAAAATTAACCAACAAAATGCTGAGCATCTTATAGGCCATCCATAACAATCAAATCCAACTTTGTTGCAAACAGCCATTTAGCCGGTGAACTCCCAACACTGTTGCTAAAATGCCAAACCATTGCTTCTTTTTTATTGGTCCCTTCAAGATTCTCACTTTTGCTAATTCCTGGAATCCATCTCCTTGTAGTTACCTCTTCCAACAATCTCCTTTCCTCGTCAGACGAATGAGTCAGTGAAATGAACTGCAACATCTTTGACTGAAAATGGAGTCCTTTGTTGGGAGAAGAAGTTCTTGTACTAGACATTGGTCTTGTGGCATTGTGTCTGTATCTTGCAAAACTAACTAAATAGTTAAGCAGAACCAATAGTTCCAGGATGTGAAAATCTATCTTCTGATTGTCGGCGTAATGGAGTGTGTGAAGGCGAATAAGGTTGGCTTCTTTGCCTGCTATCTTTTCTACAAACTCATTACTGCAAAATCCACATCAAAAGTTAATAATCAAAAACTAAATGTCAAGTCTAATTGTCCTATAAAACAAGTAAAACTAGTGCATGTTTAAATTGACGATGAACTTGACAGAACCATCGTTTATCACTGTAATTTTGAGAAAGACTACATTGTAAAGTTTCAAGAAACTCACATTGCTACCATAATATAATCTAACTCATGCATTAAAATAACCAATCTACCTTGTATTTGCCCATTCGCCAACCCATCCAAAACCTTGGTGTGCTCTGCAACATATACAGATAAGAAAAATAGAATAAGCCATTTATAAGGTATCAATTTTGAAGAAAAAGTGGGGAATAATGTGCTCTGGTTTTCAATTATTTTGTTTTTAATCATAAAAAGGGAAAGTTTCATTAACATAAATGATACATATCCTATTTATTTTTCAAACAGACTCATTATAGTTACTTGGTGTGAAAGTTACACTTATTACATGTCTGTTTAAATAACTGATGCATCATACATCTTATATATTTTAAGAAAATAGAGGGAAATGTGTATAATTGAAATTTTATATAATCTTAGTTACAAAAATAAACATGTGAGAATATGATTATATACACTTAGATTGAGCCATATCCTTAATCAGAAATTGAGAAGTACTTTACTTGAGCAGCAATGTAGGGTTCTAGTTTTGTAAGAGAAAAGGAGAATTGCAGTAGAGTGTGTGGAACTCATAAATTGCAATTTTTTTATGGCTAACCTTGAAATTCAAAGGTGGACACTGCGTGCCCATATATCCCACATTAACATTAGAACAATAAGCTAAGGGCCAGGGCCGGTTTGATTTCAAAATATTATGTTTTAATTACAAAAGTGTCACCTTGTTTCCACTGTATCCTGTTTTCAAAGTTTTATATAGGAAGACAGCACTAGAAAATGATACTCAAATTTCCAAAAATACCCCCAGTGACCTTTCAAAAGTGTCACTGTCTGCTACTTGATACAATCTGTGCAACCCAGAACAGATGACCTCCGTAGTGCAACAGTCCAATAGTATAGAGTATGCAACAAGGTCCAGCAATATGCGGCTGATTCTTTGTAATATGTTAAGTATTCACAGCCATGGCTATATTAGATACGGGATGGTGATGCTAGAGGAGAAGCAAATAAAAACAATGGCCAACCTCTCCAAAATGGTTTTCAGGCAGCATCAGTATGCATGTTCAAAATGGAGGAATTAATTGGTCTCCATGCCAATTTTCAATCTGGCAACAGCCTGCAACCCTTTGACTTTAGTTTAGATTCTAGACCAAAGAACTTCAATCCAGATATTACCAAGTCTGCTGTCTTTTTCTTCATGTGATCAATTAGTAATTCGTCGTACACAATTATGTCAGATTCTGTTAACAATTTGCGCTCCCTCAAGTTTGAGAAAACCTTTCTGGCCTCTTCAATCGTTCCATACTTGCACATGCCAGATATGATTGCAGAACATACAACATTGCCTAAAGAGCAACCCTGTTGCATCATCTCATTCAATACATTGATCACCTTTTCTGCATCATTTGACTTGCAAATGTGAAGAATGGTTAGACAATACTTAAATTCCATAGGTCCACTAGCAACATTGCCTAAGCAATCTCTAACAAGCATCATAGCTTCATCAATCTCTCCAATTTCACAAAGTCCCTTAGCAAGGCAACAATAAGCAGCCACGGAAGGAATGCAAGACATCTCAATGATCTTATTATGACATACACATGCCTCCTTGATTTCGCCTCGATCAACAAAGCAAAGAATTGCTATGTTATATATAAATGAGTCCGGCTTCAAGTCTGAGCCTTTTATTTCATCAAAGAGTGATAATGCTTTCTCCACCTCACCATTCAAGTGAAGAGACTCCATGACAACACTGTATATTTCAATGCTAACATAGCCTCTTTCTTTCAAGTGTGTAAATACCTCCAGTGCCATTATCGGTTCTTTCTTTTCAACCAAATGGGAGAAGAATTTGGAGAGATTATCAATAACTGAATATCCCAATTTCTCCATCTTCTCGAGCAACTTAAGAAATTCTTCCATTCGTTTCTTTTCGGCATAAGCCAACAATAACGGTTTTACAGTCAAGAAGTCTGGCTCAAGACCCTCCTGAATAGTAAGTTGGAAAAGCTTGTAGGCCTTCTCAAGCTTATTCATATTGCACAAACCTTCAATAAGGTTATTATAAATCCCCAAATCAGCCCGGTATCCCGAGCTCACCAAATCCTTCAACAAATCAAAGGCCAAACCAACCTTATTCTCTGCCACAAATGACTCAACCAACGATCCATATATTGCTCTATCTATCAAATGACCCTTACTCTTCATCTCCTTGAACAACTCATAACCTTCTAAAACCCTTCCTCCTTTAGCCAAACCAGCAATGATAGTACCGTATGCCATGACATCCGGCTCGACTGTATCTCTCTTCATTTCCTCCCAAACCCTCAAACAACCGTCTAAATTCCCCTCAGGAACCATAATCCGAACCAAGGCAGTATACGCAAACACATCCGGTTTACACAATTTGTTCCTCATCCTTCCCAAAACCTCTAACATCTCATCAATTTTCCCAGCCTTACACAATCCCTTAATCAAAATCATAAAAGTAACACTCTCTTCAACCAATCCATCCTCCCTAAAATCACTATAAACCGACAATGCCAAATCCAAATGGCCAGTCTTAACCAAAGCATCCATAATCCTATTATACAGAAACACCCTAGGTTTCACATCAAACTTGTTCCTCATCTTATCATAAACATGATAAACCCTAAGACCTCTACCAGCATTGGAATGCATTCGAATTAAGATCTCGAATTGTTTCTCTGAAGGAGGCTTTCCCTGAGCGTCCATCAGCTCAGGGAGATTATCAGCGGCACGGAAATGGTTGGCACGGTTAAGGCAATAAGCGAAGGCGTTGAAGGAGGCGAAATTGTGATGATAACCTTTCTGTTTCTCTACCCAGTGAAAAAACTTGAAAGCCAGGTTAGGGTTAGTTTGGACTTTAAGAACCTCAGCGACTAGGGTGGGAGTAACCCTGCGGAGTTTGTTGAGTTCAGTTACGACGGTTGGGCCCCATTTGTAATCGTTTTTGCGGAAGGCGTCGATGATGAATCTGGCGATTGGGGAGAGGCGAATGGAGGCGGAGGATGATGTATCCAGTGATGGAGAGTTTGGAGAGTTTGGGTGGGAAAGAAAGTGTGGGTCCCACTTTTGGATTTGGAAACGGTCAGTTTGTTTATTGGATTTAGGTTTGGGAGGAGTGAGAGTTTGGCGATTGGAGAAAAGCCCGCCGCGTACGGTAGGGCGGTTTTGGGAGGGTCTGCGGTGACCATAGTAAAAATAAAATTTGTTTGGTGGTGTTGGTGCTTGAGGGGGCATTTTTGAACAAGAAGAAAAAACTGTTGAACTATTATTGTGTTTTGTTAGTGCAAGTGGTGTTGCTTTTTGGGTGCTGAAATGAAGCTTGTGGTGTGGGGAATTTGCCGAATGTTTAAACTTTTGAAGAAGAAAAAACAAATTAATACACGATCTTTTGGAGGTATTTGCAATGGAGGAAAAGTGTTCAGGTTGTTTGGTTATATGGTTCGCGTGTATATGGGATTAAAGTAGGAAAAAGAGGAAGAAAACAAGGAGAGGGAGGACGGAAGGTTGAAGAACAGAGAAAGTGAGAACGGCGGATGAAGGAGATGAATTTGGAATTAAGTTTTTCTCCAATTTCTTGTTGTTATTTGTAAATCCAATGCGGGCCACCCTTTGTAACTACGGTGCACCCTCAGGTCATCACCGCACATATTCCACCAATTATCATCACACGGCCACACTTGATTGCCTACACTCACTACCATACACCCGCACCACAGGATCATCCGCCCAGTCTCTCTATATCTTTTTTTTTTCTTTTATTTTTAGTTTTATTATTTTATTTGTAATTTTTAATTAATTATTAATGAAATACAACTAACTACTAACACTAACTTAATCTTAAAAATTTAAATTTAATAAATTCAAAATTAATTTTCAATCTAAAATCAAAAAATATAATTTAGTTTAATTTAGATTTTGAGTTCAAAATTTCATTTCAATATCAAAAATAAAAAATATGATTTAGATTTAAGTTTTAATAATTAAAAATATAATAAAAATATTTTAATCCTTTTCTCTTATAAATTATTAAAATATTGGTATACTGAACTCATGTAGTTTACTGTCAAAGTTATTTTGAAATGAAGTTTGTCAACTCATGGTTCGTTACTGTTTTAAAACTGTTTTTCATACTAAAACCTGTTTAATAGCAATTATTGAACTGTTTGTTAAATGAGTTAAATGCTTCCTTGGTTGAATGAAACCTACAACTGTGCTGTTAGGGATGTCTTGAGTTTGAGTTTGTCAACTCATAATAACCTGCATTGGATCAATGACTCATTTGTTTAAGTGTGCATTTGTTGTATTTAAGCATTGTAATGTCAAAGTGTGTGGTTGTTTCTCTTTGAATTGGATTTTATGTTAGAGTTGCTTATAGGTTTAATTCATGAGCAAGCTGCTACATAATGCTGTTATAACCTATCATTTCCAATTATGTCAAGCAGTTCCTAACTCTGATGTCAGTTTAAGACTAAGTGTTTTGTTTGGTTTGAAAGCCTTGATTGTCTTGTTTACTTTTGTGGAAGGATGGATGATTGGATGCTATGTTTAGGTTTGCAACTGTTGGTTGAATCTGTGTTTGAGTAGATCTGTCCAACCTATGTGTACTTGCATTGGTAACTGTCATGAATGCAATGTCTTGAACTAGTGTTTGGCATTATAATGTCAAACTGTGTTGCAGCTTCTGTTTTCAAACAAAACCATTTTGAGTTATGATTTTCTGTGTTGGAAGTTTATTGTCATAAAAAGGTAAGTATAGCAGCCTCTTGTCAATCTTCAAAAGGAAAAAAATTACATACTAATATAAACCCAGGGAGGGAAATTGGTTTCAATAACCAAACCTGGACATGTGTATCTTGGCAGTGATCTTTATGTAGAGCCTTCACTATTTCATGAAGTGTCTCAGCAGGTTTATTATGCAACCGTAGCTGCATCTCTGTATCATCAGCATGATTACTCTTCAAAGCAGTAACTGCAACATCAAGCTGGTTGATTCGGTGGGTCAAAGCACTACAGCATATTTCAGATATTGATATAGCTGAAGAATAGGCCTACTGAATTCCTCTAACATCTTCCAAGTTTTATCTGTTTCCTTACCTGGTATATCCATGAATTGATCTTCTGATGCACTTC